CTCTCTGTCTCTCTCTCTCCTTTCTCTCTCTCTGTCTCTCTCCTCTTTCTTCTCTCTCTCTTTCCCTCTCTTTCTGTCATCTCTCTCTCCTCCTTCTTTCCCTCCCCCTCCTTTTCCCAAGGTTTGATTTAATAATAATAGTCATCTCTCTTGATGCTGATCAAGATAACTTTCTGACTTAAACAACTGACAAGGAATTTATTGATATTTGGTGGCAAGGCATGCTTAACATTCTGTTTCCACATTGAGCATGATTTCCTTTATTCTTTATTTAAACAGCTGATCTGAAATAGTAATTTGGTAGCCATGTTAGATGGGCACAAATAATGGACATTTGGTCTCGATGAAGCTTCTGGTCGTTATAGGTCTTCTACAATCCTATGACTTTGCATGGCATGCTAAAGTCATATCAGCGGTCAAACCTACTGTGAATGCTGGGTTCAGTGAATCTGTTTTCCTACTGAATGCCATAAACCTTGCATTGAATTAAATGTGTGCAGTAGCAAAATATTTTTAGAAACTAAAAATGAATTAAGTACAGCAGTTTTGGAAACTATGTTATCATTCTGGAGCTTGCATATCATCCCATTTTAACATGGAATAATTCTTTAGGGGAAAAAGTTTCTTAAAAGATGAAAATTATTCAGTTATTTCTGTAATTACTTATCATTTTTCTAGTTTGAAAACAATAAAACCCATTATGCCTCATTCATTTTAATTCATGTTGAATTTCTTTTTTGCATAACCTTGAAAATGAGCAAAAAACATTTATCAGTTCACATAATCTTTCTACATCACATCCTGTACTGTGAAGATTTTTTTTCCTTTAGCCCCATGATTTCACTGGGGTAGGGAATACCCACTGAGCAAAATTCTCTTTCCAGTGCAGGTCAGTAATGGTTGTGCAACTTCAGAGAGGTAAGGAAGGATGAGGAGTCAGAAAAGGGCTCTATTTTGCCTGGGCCAGAGAGAGTTTGAGTGACTAAACTACTCCCCCACTCCCTCCTCTCCCTGGCCCCCACCCCATTCTCCCAGCTAGGTAGGTGCACTCAGGTGTTCCTGATTTCCAGGCCCTTTCACAGACCATTTTGTCTCTCATGGAGCTAGACTAATAACACATCAATGAAATCAGTATTTTTTTTTATTCACCTGTGGACTGAATTATTCCTCATTCAATCAGCACAGGATATATAAAATGAAATTCTTTAAAATGATGTCTAGGCAGGAGGTAACTCATTGTTTCTGTCTAGATTTTCATTTTATATCCCAGCATTAATTTTTGGCTATAATTTTAGATCTGTTATCCTAAAGTCCTATGTTTCAGGCAGAGGATACAACTTCCATATGATAAATTTGGGGAGTCAAGGTATAAATTGTATGTTTGTGTAAAAGACACATGGCATATAGTTAGAAAAAATGCAGTTAATTTTTGAATTTTTTATTGGTATGGGGAACTCTAGGTGAGGAAATTCTTTCTACCAATGCACAACTTCTCTACAGCTCATAGTTTGAGAGTCACCTGGGGGCACAGAGAGGTTAAGTGACTCAAGTATCATACCCAGTATGGGTGAAAGGTAGGATTTGAATCCAGATCTTTCTAACTATAGTTATACCATATTTCCTGTCTTTTGAATTTAAAGAAAAAAAATTAAGGGCTTTGTTACATAAGTGAATTATTCTTTGTAGATATTTTGTATTTCTTTCTCTTTCTATGGCATTTAGGGTACGTGTACATGTTGTTGGCCACATTAAATGATAAGCTTCTTTAGGGCAGGGCTGTGTTTGTTTTTTCTTCAGATCTCCAGTGTTTAGTGTACACACACACACACACACACACACACACACACACACACACATACAGTGTGCCTGGTACATAGTAAGTGCTTAATGAAAATTTGTGGATCAATTAGTTCCTGAGATACAGAGTTGATTATGATCATATAGGAAGTATATAAAGCAGCATTTGAATCCAAGCCTTTCTCCAAAGTCTATCCACCACACCAGACTGTACTTCTTCAGTGCAATTACATCCTAACCTCTACTGTCCATACTTGGGTGCTTTAAAACACTAGGCTTGAAGAGATGGTGGTAGTTGTTTCTGTTGCTGCTGCTGTTAACTGCAGGTTTCCCTGTCTTGTCCAAACTGGAACTGTAGCAGCCCCTCACAGGCCTGATCCCATCACTGCTCTTGAGGCACAGAGGCTTTGATCTACTCCATTTCTTTTCTTTTCTTTTCTTTTCTGACGTGGCCGCTGCAGTGGTGAGCATGAGACCAGCTCAATACTCTTAACCCGGAGGCGCATTGAAGAGGCGGGAGACAGGGATATGGCAGAAGCTCCGTTTATTAAGTGCTAGTAGCTTTCTTTTATATCCCTAGTAACACCTGATCAAAGCATGATCTCCATGTGAGAGCCAATCACCAAGTCTGCTGGACACCTGCAGCCCTCGTGTCAGGGGTACGAGTAGGATTTTTCTCCCAATGAGAGGAGAGCCGAGCCAACTGTGGGAGCTGCGTGTCAGCAAAGGAGAGGTCTTGTGAGACTTCCTTGTTTTTGCCATGCAACAGGTTGTGACCCTCAGCTTCTGCCAAGAGAAGCTAGAACTCCCATGGGAAAATTCTCCCAACATTTTTTTATAGTGTTTTTGTTTTGTTAGGCAATCAGGGTTAAGTGACTTGCCTAAGGTCACACAACTAGTACGTGTCAAGTGTTTGGTCTGAGGCCAGATTTGAACTCAGGTCATCCTGACTTCAGGGCCAGTGCTCTATCCACTGTGCCACCTAGCTGCCCCGATCTACTCCATTTCTGACCTGGATGAATTCACTGGACTTAGTTTAGCTTCCTGACCAACCTTAGTCTCACTGCAGCAGAGAACTGCCAGAGTCAAATACCGGCCTCAGCCTTCCCTCTAGCAGAAATAACAGGCACATACTATCATGCCCAGTTGATACATACATACATATATATATATATATTTATCAAGCAAGTTCTAATTTTCACCTTCATCTTCCTGCTCATTTTCCATGCATTTCTGTTCTATCATAATTTGGCACAAAAAGGAGGAAATTTATACATACAAGATCAAAGTTGAATTTGGGAAATTTTGTTAGAAATCTCCAGTGGGAAAGAGAACACTTTTTCAAAAGCATCATTGAGCCATAAGAACTGGGAGAGAAGCCCAAGGTTATCAAAACCACCCTTGTTAGAGGTATCAGATCTTTGGGGGTATTCACTGAAATCAAATAGCTGAGGAAAAACAAACTGTTTTTCTCCTAATGCTTCTAAATGCTCGCTGTTTTCCTGATTGAATGTTATTGTTTGTCCTGGTTGGTAGAGGCAAGAGGAGAGAAGTAGCTTGTTAGAACTATTTGAGCCATGCTTGGCACATAGTAGGTACTTAATAAATGCTTATTGATTGACTGACCTCAATGCCCCCTTTGTTGGTTTATAACAAGAAGGAAAAATAACTCTCTCCCTTAAAATGGACACCCTGAATTTGAAAAGGGAGCAGAACCAGAATGTCACAGGTACACATATAATCAGGAATTCTGTTCCTTACCTTCTTGGTCGATGGTAGAAGTATGTCTGAACAAAGGGCTTTCTATACCCCTTTTATTCAGTGTACCACTTCCTCTATAAGACCACAATGATTGTGGCATTCAGTGCTCTTATGTTAGAGAAGACATAGAGAATTTTTCTCTTCTTTTTTTTCTGTGATTTCTCTTTCTTCCATGCTGGAGAAGTTGCCAAGTATTGTTTTATTTCAGATTCAGGAAGAGGATTAAGACAAGGATCCGTCCCTCTTGAACTGTAAGGTCAACAGTTCAGTTTTCATAGATTCAGAGGGATATCAGAGGCCATTCAGTTCTACCCCTTCATTTTTATAGGGAATGAAAGAGTCCCAGAAAAGTGAATTGACTTGCCCAAGGTCACACAGATAGTACATGTTATTTTTGTCCCTCTATATATAAAGACACTTGAAACTGAGTCTGATTTAAATGAAGAATCAGGCAAAAGAAGTCAAGAAAGAAAAGTAAACACTACCCTCTTCCCTCCCCCTACTCCACCCCCAATTGTAAAGTACTGTGCCATCTGAATTAAAGTGATTCATCTAGGCAATTTTTCTTCTTTTGTTTTACTTGTTATAGTGAAGGAGCCTTTTCTTGATACTCTAAAGAGAGAAGATCTTAATGTAATGTCTTATTGAAGAACAGAAATGATAAGAGGGGAATATTTAATTTGATACTTCCAGAATGGGTGATTGTCAGGATGTATGATTCCTCCAATGCCACAATTTATAACCCTTCTCTGTACTTTGATGTACTAATACATGTGTATACGTTTTATATATGTGCATGTATGTATATATATTATATACACAGACACATATTCATACACATATAAACACGTGTGTGTGCCTGTGAGCGTGTGTGTGTGTGTGTGTGTGTGTGTGTGTGACCAACCTTCTGGAGATGAATTCTCCCAAATACACCCAGAAGACTCTTCGGCTGACAAAAATACAAATCTGTCATCAGCCCAATGCTCAAAGCCTTTCCAGCTTGTGCCTTGCTGCTGTAGCCTTTGAATACAGTCATTGGAACACAACATGGAGGGATTAATTGCAACAGGAAGAGGGGAAGTGTCAGACTACAAAAGAGACAGTAATTGCTTGGGAGGACTCTGCACAAAATTTATCATTTGTATTCCTATTAAGGTGAGCTATTCCCTTACTTAAGTTTCTCTGCAGAATGATGCAGGTCCAGGGACACATTTCCTTTTTTTTTAATTTGTTTTTTGGGGGGCTAGGCAATGGGGTTAAGAAGTGACTTGCCCAGGGTCACACAGCTAGTAAGTGTTATGTGTCTGAGGCTGGATTTGAACTCAGGTCCTCCTGAATCCAGGGCCGGTGCTCTATCCACTGCACCACCTAGCTGCCCCTAGGGACACATTTCTTAGGATTAGAGTATACTACTTCAGGACCCTATCTTCTCTTCTTTTTAGGGCCAACCTGGACATCTAGGGCCTCAAGGCCCTATTGGAGATTTAGGACCTCCTGGGCCCATTGGATTGCCAGGAGAGAAAGGAATGAAAGGGGACAGTGGACCTCCTGGACCAATGGGAGATAAGGGAGATAAGGTAAGATTTTTTTTTTGTAAATAAAAGATGCAATATTTGCTACTGGCCATTGAAATGACATTTTAAATATTTGTAAAAGCATTAGAAATTATATCTCTTAGTATAAAAATCCAAGAAAATAGTATAAATTTTTTTAACCTATGGATTACTATTCTCATTAAATTAATTTACTTACTATTCTAATCACAGAGTATCCTTTATGTTGGTTTTGCTTTCTGATACTTACAGGGCCCAACAGGAGTACCTGGCTTCCCAGGCTTGGATGGCATACCTGTAAGTAACCCTTGAAAAATTCTCATTAAAAAAATGAAACTCATTTAAGCCATGCTTACACATTTGAGCCAAACCTGAGACAATGCCTTACTTATCCTTATATCCACATGTGCAGGAGAAATATAAGGACTTAAAAATTTGTCTATCCCACTGAAAAAGGAAACGTGATAATTGGGAGAATGAAAATGATGCATTTGGAGCCCAAGGTTTTCAAACAGGCTAAATGAAGTTTCCAAAATGTGAAATCACTATATCACTTGATATGGCACCAGGTGCCGTATCAAAAACTGTGACTCCATTCTTAAAGTTACGTTTTCACAATGGGGATGCCTGAACAATTAACAATCTCCTGTTTGGGTATCCAGCCACTTAAACTATTTTGCTTCATCAAATATTAATAATATATTTGAAGTTCATAAAAGTACCAAATATAAATGTTATTTTTTTTTCCTCAGGGCTATCCTGGACCTCCAGGGTCAAGAGGCAAACCTGGCATTGATGGCTGCAATGGTTCAAGAGGAGATCCAGGACTTCAAGGAGAGAGAGGAGCACCAGGACGAGAAGGTCCAGCTGTAAGACATCACTTGCATATGACATTAGAAATCAGTGTGCCTTCCAAGAGCAAGCCTTGGGGGTTTAGCAGACAGATGTATATTCAAGTCTGTAACTTGTCAGCTCCATAGACCATAGTCTACAACATGAAAGTCCTTGCCTTTTATTGTATGTAGAAACACTCTGGGAAACTGTGAAGTGAAAAGTTATTAATAAAGCAAGAGCAATATGTGTATATATATATGTATATAAGTAGATATTTATATATCATCTAGTTGTCTATCTGTCTATCCATCCTTCCATCCATCCATCTATCTATCTATCCATCTATCTATCTATGTATCTATCTATCATTGGAAATGGTCAAGGTCTCTGAGCTACGTATAAATAGGGAGTAGAATTTTGCCATAAATTTTCATAGTGGAATTTTACTTCTTAAATAAAATTTTTAAACTTAATTAAAGGGGAAAAATACTTAGGCTCAATTACATCTCTTGAAGCATGAATAATGTGAATGCTATGCACTTTTTCCAGAACAGGTACAATTGTACATACAACCTTTGTTATGATAGAATATGATATAGTGCAAAGAGAATTGATTTTGGCATTATTGGATCAAAAAGTGATATTGGACCATGGAGGCCATAGAATCTAATGCTCTCATTTTAAAGATGAGGAAACTGAGGCAGAAAGAAGTAAAGTGCCTTGCCCAGGGTCACACAGCTAGGAACTGTCTGAGGTGGGATATGAACCCAGGTCTTCCTGACTCTAGCCCCATTGCTGTGTCCACTGCTCTATACTATCTGCATTCAAATCCTGGCCCTGCTTCTGCTTACCTTCTGACTAAGGCATGTGACCTTAGGCCACTACCGTCATCTCGTTAGGACCCAGTTTTCTGATTTGTAAAATGGGAAGAATAGACTAAATGATCTCCCTGACCTCTTCCATCTCTGTCATCCTATGATTCCAATGCATTGATGTGACGCGTCATTGACCTCAAGCTCTTTAAGGCAGTGGGGTATATCTCATTGCCCTAACATGCATGTACTCATATCGCCACTAAATGAATAATTCCTGATAATGATGAAAGGCCCTTTTATTCCCTCTAATGGATATAAAAATTTCCAAGCTGAAAACTATCAAGTAAACAATATCCCAAGTCATTTAGTTGCTGGAACAGGTACCCTAAGCATGCCACAAATAGCTTCCTTTTCATTGAGTTCACTAGGAGTCATTTAACTAGATCATTTTCAGCAAAGTCCAAGTTCCCAGTTTTTCATGAACTTATTCTTCCCCAAACATCCTGGGCTTGAACCAGAGGTTTAATCTTTGATGTCTCACCTTCTTAGTGCTGAAGTCTGTCTTAAATAGAGGTCGACCAAGGAATATACTTTCATTTTTTCCTTGCCTTTCTTCCTTTTTTTCCCTTCTTTTTTATAAAGGTTAGAGGTACTGCAGCCATTTAATCTGATTTCTTGTGACTTATTTGTCTCTGACTGATTAACCATCATAGACTTAGGTTGTTTCTGGTAAGACTTTCTTGCTTTAGAGATATATCTGACTTCTGATTTTGTCTCCCGCTTCATTGGAGCCAAGGAAAGTACAGAATTCGAATGAAAGCACAGCTTTCATAATAAAAGCTGGATTTTTTTTAGTGCCCAAAGCAAAATTAGCACTCACCCTTTAATTGCGCAACTTCTTAATCTTTCTAGCCACCTTCTGCATAGGCTATGGATCTAGGCCTTGAAGGTATCTGAGAGGCCCTTTTGCAGATGAGGAAACTGAGGCCCAGAGAGGGCATAGAGAGATAGTAAGCATCAGAGGAGTAATTTTTATCATTCAGTCCTATCTATGCTAAGTACACAGAGAATCTTGTGTACAAAGAGTGATATTGTATGTAGGTAGGTGGTCCAAGGAATAGAATCCTGAGTTTGGAGTTAGGAAGACCAGAATTCAAATCCCACCTCAGATAATTTACTATCTAGGTGACCATGCACAAGTCTCCTAATACTTAGCGGTCTAAGGTTCCTTATCTGTAGAATGAGGAGGTTGGACTCAGAATCCCCCAAGGCCCTTTCCAGCTCTGAATCTATTCCTATTCTATAAAATCAGTAATTTTTTTTTATTTCATCCTGGCTTGTTATTATATGCTCAATGAAGAGGAGCTACTCCTGCCCATGTATTTTATTTTTTGGAAATAAATGCATTTCAGTTTCCTTAATAATTAATTTATAGCTATTAATATTAGTAGTTTATTTTTTTCTTCTACTGATAATCCTTCAGATTTAATGCAAATTTCTGATAGATATCAAATATATGTTTCAGAAGCACTGGATAATTATAGTTAAAAGTAGTAATACGATGTAGGGAACAAAGAAGCAATGATAAGACATTGTATTTGAAATTACTAGTTAGACATTCAGTGGATTTAGTGCTGGGCCTGCAGGTAGGAAGGACTCATCTTCCTGACTTCAAATCTGACCTCAGATACTTAGTAGCTGTGTGACTCTGGGCAAGTCACTTAACCCTGTTTGCCTCAGTTTCCTCATCTGTAAAATGAATTGGAGAAGGAAATGGCAAACTACTCCAGTATCTCCGCCAAGAAAACCCCAAGTGGGGTCTCAGAGTCAGATCTGACTGAAACAGCTCAGCAGCAACAACAAAATAACAGTGAGCATGAATTAGAATATACTCTAATGGTTTTGTACTTTTCCTCCTAAACAAATGTTTGATTTTCAGGGTCTTCCAGGGCCAAGAGGAGAAAAGGGGAATTCCGTGTATATTTCAGGTGCTATTAAAGGCCTCCCGGTGAGTGTATTCCAGTAGTTGTTGAACTGTTAAAAGTGGTAGCGCGTCATTAGTCCTAATTGCCTAATGAATTCATTATAACTTCTTGTACTTTGATGATTTAGGCCATCATGTTCTAAAGAAACCAGAAATGCTAAGTAGGAGCAAAGCCAAGTGATTGTATGTGTTGTTAATGCATGCCTGTGCAGGTAGAGCTATTTTTGTTTTGTATTATTATAAAGATACACTGCTACACTTGTAGGTACAAGAATATTGCTATAAAGTATCTACCAGAACAGTAACTGTTAGTTACTATGACTCATGTGCCATTTATGGATGTGGTACTTTTTAAGTATTTACTTTTTTGCTATCAAATAGTAGGTAGTTGAAAGTAGGCAATTGCAAGGGATAATTTAATTAATGAGAAACTACAGGGACTTCTTTCTCTCCAGAACTTCACAAAATATTATCTAGAAACCCAGAGACAATAGGAAATGGGGCCCCAGAAAAGCCAGAGCCAGTACAGGGTTTCATCCCATTATAACCAGAGACTGGGCAGAGACAAGGAAAGCTTGCAAGGCTTTGTGTCCAAAAGTGGCAAGAGTGGAACTTCCTTGAGAAATGAACAGAAAAGGAAGTTCAGAAGGCATTATGGACAAGAAGAGCAATTTTAAAAGTAAAATGTAGAATTTATTGAGTAGCTTTTAAAAAGTAAGTGGTATGAAAAGAGGTTTTATAGTTTTATAGAATGATCTTATCGGTGCTTAAGTTCAGAATAAAAAAATAAAGAAACAAATTCAATTTGATGAATATGTATTAAGCATCTATTATTTGCAAGATGCTGTGCTTAAACTGGCAAGAGGGGTGAGCATATGCCCCTGAAAATGTCAAGAACCTCAACATTAAGCCAATATTAGCTTTAAAAAATAAAGCAGTCTAGAGTTCTTAGCAAGGAATGATTGTACAAAAAGCAGGCTCAATCCTAAGCCCCATTCTATGTGCCAGTCATTGTGCTAGGTACGGGGAATCCAGGTACAAAAGGTAAAACCATCCCTGCGTTTAGGGAGCTTCCACTGGAAAAGGGTATATAACATGTACATATATGGGTAGATACAGAATAAATATAAAATCAGTATGGCTTTAGAAATGTATTGATCTGGTACCCAAATGTGTGCCTAGTTTCACAAGTCATTTTTCTAGCCAAAAGGAAGGATTGAAGGTAGAAAGTTTTAGTGACATTGACTATGGGAGATCTCGGTTCATATCTTGACTCCAAAACTTCTAAGTTGTGTGACTACAGGCAAGGCTTTTAACCCCTCTGAGCCTCAGGCGACTTTCTAAGACTGCATACCAAATCTTAAAGTTGCTGGGGTATAGAGTGGGAAGGAGGTTGGGGAGAGGCAGTGTTGTTAAATTGGAGGAAGAGTAGGATGTACTGAAGTAGGGATAACCCTTCAAGGCTGGTGCAAAGTGGTTCCTGCTCATTGGTGTTGTTTGTCCCTCATTCTCGAAGAGGACCATGACGTCAGGAAGACGATGCCATGATTTGTGGGTGAATTGAGAAAAGGCTGTGCAAGCTTACCAGCCTCACTTTTTCCTGTGGAGCCATCTGGGTCCAGTGGCCAGATTTAGATCAGAAAGGTTGAGATGGCTGCCTTCCTGCTCATTATTTAAGGTTGAAAGTAATGACTCCAACTACTCCATTATGTATATGTTGATATGACTCTCACGTCCTTTTCTAGACCCTCCTTTAGCTGACCTTCCTGATGAGGGGGGCATTGGGCTATACATATGTGTATACATATTCCTGTCACGTGGGTGGTTCCACCAACTCTTGGCTCCTCCTTACTTGTAATGAGGTCATGATCTGGGTCAGTGGGTAGAGTACCCACATTGACAAAAACATGGATCCTTACAGCATTGAGCTAAAAGTTTTCACTAGTCTAGGCATGCCATCAGTTTTTTTTAAAAAATTAATATTCTATTTTTCTCCTAGTTATATGTAAAAACAATTTCTAACATTTGTTTTAAAAATTTTTTTGAGTTCCAAATTCTTTCCCTCCCTCCCCCCACATTGAGAAGGCAAGCAATTTGAAATAGGTTTATATATGTGCAGTCATGCAAAACATATTTTCATGTTAGTCATATTGCAAAAGAAAACAGATTAAAAAAACCCAAGAAAAATAAAGAAAGTAAAGAAAAAGTATGCTTCAATTTGCATTCAGACTCCCTCAGTTCTTTCTCTGGAAATGGATAGAATTTTTCAACCTAAGTCCTTTAGAATTGTCTTGAATCATTGTATTGCTGAAAATACATGTCATCAGTTGTATTTATTTTGCCAATGAAATGATTTCAACGTTACAGGGAGATCAAGGCGATCCAGGACCTCCGGGTTTACCTGTAAGTCTCTCCTATATGGATTATGTGTCTTCAGCCCTTCTTGATCAACGTGTGAAGTCAATTTTTTGTCATCTTAGGGATTAACTGCTTTGTGGGTTTTCCGAAGCAAAATTTTAATCACAGGCTAAATTTGTCCTGACTTTCAGTTCACCTTGGGCTGGCTCCCCCATGCACATCTAACATTTGGCTCAATGAATTCAAGATAATTTTAACCTACCTTAAATATAAAGTAAATCTTCTGGACAAATAAAAACTACATAACCCCACAACAACTTAAGGCATTGAAAATCCTGGTAAAATCATTTTGGATACCTTATTTTGAATTATCCAAATGTTGCTACTGTTCTCCATTGATCAAAAATTGATTGATGTGCCATTCCTAGTGCCACCTTCACTTCCTGAAGCATCATGACCTCATAATCACCCCTATTTATAAATGATGATGAGGTTGAAAGCAGGGACAGGTTGCCCTATTAATGATCCACATCTGATATGGCTTTCTAACCAAGCTGACTTTCTCAGATTTATGTACATCTTTTGTCAGGCAGGGAAGGATGACTTGACTTTTGTCATTGATCATCCAGAAGAAATACCTTTTGTGTGCATGTAAGCAAGTAGATGACTTAACATGTCCTTAAAATAAATACTATATCATATTTGCAAAGAGAGAATAATTCTATTTTAGACCATTATATCATCTGAGGTGTGCAAATTGCTCAATGAGAACAAATAGTCCTTTGTCCTTACCTTCCCCAGACTGAGAGACAGTGAGAGAAATTGGGAAAAGAAAATGGGAAATTTGGGGGAAAAAAACAGGATTCAGGAGACTTGGTTTTGAACCTCAGTTTTGCCATTTCTTACTTATATGTTTGTGGGTAAGTCATTTAACTTTTCTGTGCCTTGGTTTTCATCATCTATAAAATGAGGGGGTTGGACTAGAAGACCTTAAAAGTCCTTCCATGTAATGCTAACGTGAGCTTCTATTTCAATGTGCTAGTATTTATCATTTATGAGAGGAAGTGTGGGATATTTAGCCTTAAAGCCAGTAAGACCTGGGTTCAAGTCCTCCCTCTGATGAATACTGGCTGTAAGATTCTTGGCAAGTTGTGGATCAATGTGTAAAGTCAACCTCTCAATGTTATAGGCCAGAAGTGTCAAATATGTGATCCATGGGTTCCATTTGGCCACAACACTCCTGAGCAGGGCCCAAACCAGATTAAAACATCATAGGGAAATATTTAACAAAAATAAATAAAAATACAATAAAACATTAATAATCTCAATATGTGATTTTCCAAGTCAATATTTGCCCCCAAGGATCCTTATGTATGGCTTAGTGACTCCATTTCTGAGTTAGATATCATTGTTCTAAGCAGCTCTCTAAGACTGAGCAGCTAAGATTGGTAGAAATAGGTTCTTTACCAGGCGTTCCCAACATCAATGAAAACACAGGTCCAGACACCCATCCCTAATGTGTGTACATATGCATACATACACACACACACATATGTATATGCACACACATACACAATATGCATTTACACACTTACACAGTATATATGTATATATGTATAGACAGTATATATGTACATGCACACATGCATGTGCATGTATATACATCTATATGAATGCCACACACATCATATATCCATGCATGTACATGTGTATACACACACCTGTATGCACACACATGTGTATGCATACACAAATGCACACATGCATATACGCAAACATATATTTGCATACATACACATATTTATATGTATATGCATACATACACATGTGTACGTGCACATGTGTAATACAAATATATGTGCATGTGTGTATATGTGTAGCACACATATTCCTATTGTATATATGTGTGTATATATATATATATACACATATACATCTCTCCTTATCATATATATATATTTATGTAAATACTAGGGTACAGAAGATAGTCTATGCAGTAATGGGCCAGGTCCCCAGAGCCAAGTCCAAAGCTGTGTATCTATTCATCTACAGTTAACATTTTTTTAAATGCATGAAATAATGTAGAGAGGTAGCATAGTATAGTAAAGAGAAGGCCATCTTTGGTATTTGAAAGACCTTGATTCAAGTCTTGCCTCTCATACATTCTAGCTATGTGACATGGGCAAGTGCTTCATCATCCCAGTGTTCTGGATAATTCTTTAATACAATGTATTATAGTTCAGTTTCTTGTCTGTATTAGTGAAGGGTATTTCCCTGCTGGGAGATCCCTATATCAATAAAATCACAAGTATAGCCCTCCAGAGGGGGAAAACATAGTAAGAAAAGAAATCAAGTAAATATTGTTCTTATTTTTAAAATATATCAAACATATAACTAAATACATGGAATTATGTTAATGTTATTCGGAAGTTGCTTTTGAACAAGCGACCCCATATTTCTTTTTTGTAACTTTCTCTTAAAAAATCCCCAAATTTAGAGACTTATAATTTAACCAAGGAAGACACTTACAGATCAAGGATCACTGTATCAGTTAGAGAGGGGGCATTTACTAGACCCTGAGTGTGTCAAATTTTGACTCATATCCTGAGGTTTGGTGGGATTGGAAGTCAATAGAATTCCGACTTGAAAATGAAGCCTATGAGGGCTTTTTTAGGAGATAAAGGGTATTTTTAAAGTGCTAGGATTCCATGTAGACTTTGTGATAAGACGGAGATTTGAGTAAACAAATGCATTGTTTTTTCTCATGCCAGGGACCTCGAGGAGCAAATGGATCTGTGGGTGAAATGGGATTTCCAGGGATGCCAGGTTCTCGAGTAAGTATTACAGTATTATTGGTAATATTCTTTATTTTTTTCCCCAAATTCAATTTGTTTCTTTGTCAAAATCTATACCACAGTCACTAACTGTAACTTCAAATCTAGTTAGATGGACTATCACTGTAAACATTCATGTTTGCTGATGTTTGTCTAGTTAATAATAAAAAAGAAAAATAAATAGTACATAAAATTCCCTCTAGCTATCAGAAAAATAAAAAGCCATTATGTGGTAACAGACTAAATTTAGAGTCATGTGGGTTCAAGTGCTATCTGTCTCCATCACTTATGGGTCACATGGTCAGGGACTAGTCATTAACTTTCTGGGAGCCTCAATTTTCCCATTCGTCACTGGGGGTAATACTTCTGGCACTAAGGGCTGATGTAAAAAAGACACATTTTTTAAACTTTAAAGTATACCGTAACTGTGACTTGTTGCTGCACTACAATTGTTACTGTCAACAGCAGCAACAACAACAACAATACTGTTGGGCGTAGGGAGAGTGAAATTGTCATCAGATCAATGCAAATCCATCACCATTATTGGAAAGCCATGTCTTTCTGGCAGTCAGGAGCATTATCTTCACGTATCACAAATAACACATTTATATTTTTACATTATTGAATTGAAATTGAGGAGCTGCTTAAGCCATCAAATGGCGAGACCATGCCTCAGAATTCTAGATGAACTGATTTGTTTTTGTGTTTGTGATTGCCTTTTTAGGGACCTCCAGGGCACCCTGGGAGGCCAGGTGATCAGGTAGGAATATACAAGTCAAAGAATTTCCGAATGGAGTACAAATATATAGGTGTAACTAACTATTCATGTTATTTTTAACCTTTTGGATTTTTCCTTGCTAGTGGGCATCTCAAAAACTTTTAATAAATTCCAATAAACTAAATGATTAGGTAGAAAATTTACATTTAAATTTTTATGAAAACATTAACTTCCTTCTTTTTTTTCTCTTAGGGTAATCCAGGTGTTGGAGTAAAAGGCCAAGTTGGAGATCCGGTAAGGATAGTATGCATTCAGGAAGCACCTGGGCAACATCCATTTGTTGTCTAGTTACTGTCCAAGGATAGGTCTCAGCATTCTGCTGTCTTTGATTTATAGCCAGGTGGTGCAGTTGCTAAAGCTTTGGCCTTCAAGTCAAGAATCCCCAGGCTCATACCCTGCCTCAAACACATACTAGATGTGTGACCTTGGGCAATTCACCTAACCTCTTCCAGACCCAGTTTCCTCAGCTGTACAAAGGGGATGATGATGGCTCTTATCTCCTAGGAATGTTGGGAGGATTAAATGAGAGACTTATATTTAACACTTTGAATACTTTAAAAGTTAGTGATGGTGATGATGGTGATGATGATATATATACACCTGACCTTTGGCCACAGTGATTAGCATTATTTACAGGATAAATTTAATCTTTAGGCTAACTCACATACTAAGCTTCAACTTAATAAGAAGGGGATAAATGTTATTGACTAAGAGAGATCCATATCAGCAGGTATATTTTAAAATTTCAAAGAAAAACTTCTGTGTTCTTGTAGAAGACCCCTAGTTTTGCATGTTATTTAATATAAATTGAATTTATATTGAATTTGAGGCCCTCAGGTCCATCCAGGTAAACTGATAAACAGCACCACCTGACATGATTATACTGGTGAGTGCTCACACTGAGACACACTCCTTCCGACTGAGCTTTGAAGCAGAGTGTTTAGGCAGCAAATTCACAGAGCAACATTCAAGATTCCTCAGCTGTATAATGGGGATGGTAGAGTTGGGACGGACCTTCATAAAATAGCCTTCATTACAAAATAGCAAGCACCGTACTTACCCATTTTTCCTTGTGGCAAGGAAAACTGCCAACGAGTTAGCCCAGTGAGGCCAGTGGTATCTTTTCATATTTAAAAATGTTAAGTGTAGTATATGTGGAGAGCGGGCAGTGTTGTTATTTAAATTTTATTTTAACATTCCTTCTGTTGTACTCATTATGGTTATATAAGCCTTTGATATTCTGAATTATTAGGTAGAAGAAGGCAGAAAGGAGGAAAGGTAGTATGTATGTCATGCCACTAGGAGAGAGAGAGACAGAGAGACAGAGACACATAGATACAGAGAGACAGAGGCAGAGGGACAGAGACAGAGACAGATACAGAAAGACAGAAAGAGAGATTGATTGATTGATTATGGCTCAAAGGACAACGCTCTAGTCATCACTACTAGAAAGCCATTTGCAAATGCATGTCTCTACAAGTAAGAAATGGCTTTGTAAATATCTTTAAATTATGGCTAAAAGATACCTTTTTTGTGGCTAATCAATGCAATTAGCAGAGTTAAATGTGTATTATTGAAAACTGTATTTTAATTTGCTCTGATACTACTTTCCAGTTAATTCTGTGAACTATAATTCTGAATTTTAGTATTGTTCCATGACTCACAGGTTAATCTAATCTTCCATCTCTGGATAATTCAGCATTCTGATTGCCTTGGTATCATTTGACTTTTATAGGGTGAAGTTGGTCTTCAAGGGTCTCCAGGACCAACCTTGCTGGTTGGGCCTCCTGGTTCATGTCTTGTTAAGGGAGAAAAGGTATGTGTATTGAAATCTAGAGTTCCTTGTGCTGCTCATAGCACTGAAATAAATGGGAATGTGATATTGTAATACCTCTCCCATGGTACCATGTTCACATTAATAGTGTCTCCAGTTCATGGGGCTATGAGTATCAACCCAAGTTAAAGTGTCCAGTCTACATTTTGTGACCATAAGAAAAAAAAAAGCAGCAAAAATTCACCCTTGAATTTGCTGTTGTAGCTGTTATTTTTAAAACGTGTTAGTATTTTCAAGCACCCTATTAAATTATATTCCTTTCTTCGGAAAGGGTCAGTCCATTCTCAGGGGCTGCATGTCTAGCTTGTCCATCAGCTGCCATGTTTAAACAGACCACATATTTTCTCCTTGATATTCTCTGATACAATAGAACCAGCTTTAATGTTACTAGTACTTTTTGTAAGTGTCCTGTGGATTTTATATGTGCATTGGAGTCAGAAGTAAAACTCTTTATTTTAAAAACAGAAGAATGGAACTGATAAAAGAATAAATGTCTTTTTAAGTTCAATTCATTCCAATTCAATTCATTAAGCATTTATTATGTACATAATTCAAACCAGGTACTGTTCAAGGCACTGGAAATTCATGAAAATAGAACAATACCTTCCTCCAAGGAGGTTGCCTTTTACTTTGTCAAATGAGCTGAAATTCAATCTTTAAATAGTAAGAGCTTAACCTTTGTGATTTTTTAGGGCATGAAAGGAATGCCTGGAGTCATTGGTCCCTCTGGACCATATGGAGCCAAGGTAGGCAATCCTCCTTCTCTCTTTCTCTCTCTCTCTCTTTTTTTTTTAATAATATGGTATTTTTCTTTTACTCTGTTATTTCTCATTCCTTTGCATGTAAGATTCTCTCATTAGAATGATTGCTATGATCACACAGGTTCTCCTTTCTCTAGTGATTGTCTAAGTCATCTTTGAGTTGATTTTGCAAACAATGACATGTCTCTTTTTTTTTTCCACATTGCTAAAAATTGGATGTTTCATCTTTATGTTTCATGTGTATCTCCAAAACGTCACCATGTAAAGGGTGAACCTGGTATTGGGGTGAAGGGTGAAAAGGGTATTTCTGGATTTCCAGGACCTCAGGTAAGAATTATTCAAAATTGATGATTTTTTAAAAATATTTTTTATTGATTTAATTAAATATTTCCCAATTACTTCAACCCAATTATTTTAACATTCATTTAAAAAAAATTTAAGTTCCTAATTCTCTCCCTCCCATCTCTCCCTCACTTGAGAAGGCAAGCAATTTTATGTTGATTATACACGTGAAGTCATGCAAAACATATTTCCATATTAGTTATGTAACCAAAGAAAACAGACAAAAAAACCAAGAAAAATAAAGTTTAAAAAAAGTGTGCTTCAACAGAGTTCATCAGTTTTCCTCCTGGAGATGGTTAGCATTTTTTATCATGGGTCCTTTGGAATTGTCTTGATCAGAGTAGCTAAATCTTTCACAGTTGATCATCATTACAATATTGTTGTTACTATGTACAATGTAATCCTGGTTTTGTTCACTTCATTTTGTATCATTTCATATAGGTCTCCCTAGGCTTTTCTGAAACTATCTTGCTTTTTCTATCTTATAGGGCAATAGTTTTCCATCACAATCGTATACCACAACTTATTTGGCCATTCCCCATTTGATGGGCACACCCTTAATTTCCAGTTCTTTGCCACCACAAAAAAAATTGCTACAAATATTTTTGTACAAATAGTCCTATTCCCTTTTCCTTGATCTCTTTGGGCTACACATCTAGTAGTGGTATTGCTGGATCAAAACACATTCACAGTTTTATAGCCCTTTGGACATAGTTCCAAATATTTACCTAGAATGTTTGGACTAGTTCACAGTTCCACCAAAAGTGCATTGGTGTCCCAATTTTTCTACATCCCCTCCAGCATTTGTCATTTTCCTTTTCTCTCATGTTAGCCAATCTGATAGGTGTGAGGTGGTATCTCAGAGTTGTTTTAATCTGCATTTCTCTAATCAGCAATGATTTCAAGAATTTTCTCATGTGACTATGGGTAGCTTTGAGTTCTTCTTCTGCCTGTTCTTGTCCTTTGACCATTTATCAGCTGAGGAATGGCTCTTATTTTTATAAATTTGGCTGAGTCCCCTGTATATTTGAGAAATGAGGCCTTCATCAGAAAAACTTCCTGGCACCCATAAAGAAAATGGTATCCAGAATTCTGCCATCCAGAATATGGCATCCATAATTCTTTTTTGCAGTTTCCTATTTTTCTTCTAATTTTGGCTGCATTAGTTTTGTTTGTACAAAAGCTTTTTAATTTCATATAATCAAAATTATCAATTTTGCTTCCTGTGATCCATTCTATCTCTTATTTGGTCATAAATAGATCTGACAGGTACATCTTCCCATGCTCCCCTAATTTACTTATGATATCACCTTTTGTGTCTAAATCATTTATCCATTTTGACCTTATCTTGGTATATGGAGAAAGATGTTGGTCTATGCCTAATTTCTGCAAAACTGCTTTCCAGTTTTCCAGCAATTTTTGTCAAATGGTAAATTCTTACCCCAAAAGCGTAGATCTTTGGGTTTATCAAACTCTAAATTGCCATGATGATTTCCTACTTTGTATCATGTACCTAATCTATTCCACTGATCCACCACTCTATTTCTTAGCCAGTACCACATTGTTTTGATGATTACCACATGGTAATATAGTTTAAAATCTGGTACTGCTAGGCTGCCTTCCTTCGCCTTTTTTTCATTGATTCCCTTGATATTCTTAAACTTTTGTTCTTCCAGATGAATTTTATTATTATTTTTTCTAGCTCTACAAAATAATTCTTTGGTAGTTTGATTGGCATGGCCCTGAATAAGGAAATTAACTTAGGTAGAATTGTCATTTTTATTATGTTGGCTCAGTCTGCCCATGAGCAATTAATACTTCTCCAATTGTTTAGATCTGTCTTTATTTGTGTGAAAAGTGTTTTGGAATTGTGTTCATATAGTTCCTGAAATTGTCTTGGCAAGTATACTCCCAAATATTTTATATTGTCTACAGTTCCCTTCTATCTCTTCCTGATGGTTCAGAACAAATTATTTATCTTCCTAGCTACCTACGGAATATTTCTCTTTCACATTTCATAGAAGATTCTTATAAGGAATGTTTAGGTTGCTCAAAACAGGAAATTACGTGAACCAAGAACAGTAGTGCTTTGATAAGAAAAGTTGCAAGATAGTCAACATTTCCTGGAAAATCAATCCCAATGCTTATGCTTAAAAAATAGACAAAGAAGAGTGAATGATTAAAGGAAATACTGGGGATTACTAGTCATTTCCTGGCCACTTTAGTGCCAACATAATAATAACTTGGAATTGTTACTTTAAGCCTGTTGGGTAAAATGAGATGTCAATCTTAGGGGAACAGCTAGAAGAAGGTGAGGCAGAAGGCCAAAAAAATCATCGCACCAGTCACTAATTAGCACCTCCATTGATACTGTCAGCACCAAGGCCAAGCTTCAGTTGGCATAAGAATTAGATTGCCCTTCACTCTAGATTTAAGGAGGGAGCATAATGAGGCCCTAGTGCCATGGTGACTTGCACTGCCTCTACCTAAAGGATGCCAGCCTCTTTCTGGGCAAATTACAAGGCGTCTGTTTCCAAGATGCTTGAGTGTAATTACTATTAAATTGACAAAAATCAAGTGGAACACACGGTTGGGGTGCTCTGAATAATGGGATCCAGTATAAAGGACTGACATTTGGGTGGTTATTGAGAATAGCTTAATTGGAGCCTAACAAAAATGGTATACAGAAACAGAATCGATTTTATATCTATTTAGTATCTTTCTTTCAAGCTACCTTGGCAAACATAAGCACATAGTTTAAACACTAATATTCACAACTCCATTGTGAAGTAGGGAAAGATAATTGGTTCACTCACATTTATTTTTGCTTATTTTTTTTTGTGTGTGTGTCTATGTGTTTGTGTGTGTATGTGTTTGAATCTCCAAGGGTGGCCCTGGTTCCCATGGACTTCCAGGTTTTTCAGGAGTAAAGGTAAACATATCAAGATAGCAAACAAGTTAGGCAAAACAGAATTCAACATTGTTCCCAATGTATAACTTCCTGTCCTTTTATTTGAAGATCAAAATTATGCCACAAGAAAATGTACATGTAATTAGGAAAGAGGACATTTTCACGAATGATGGGCATGCTCAGTTTATAGATAGAAATACTAGAGCTGGCAAGTCAACTATAACCCCAAATTGCAGAATGGTACAGTATATTCATTAAAATAGGCAGCACACACTGACATCAGACATACTTTTAAACAAACTATCCTGTCATTGAATCAGATTTTACAAAGAAGACCTGTCCGTGGTTGTTTTTAGGGAGAACCTGGAGCAATTGGTGTCTGTGGGCAGTTTGGAGTTCTTGGCAGTAAGGTAATAAAATAAGGACTTCTAATGGGCAAAACTCTCAATTTTCTGACTCCTACAGTGCCTTTGAATGCATGTGTCAAGAAATATTTCAGACATATAACTTTTGAAAGGTAAAATAGATTCCCTTATTTATTAATGTATTTTAAAGAACATTTTTGTAATGCTCATGTTAAAGGTTGAGAAATAATTCTCTTAAAGGGGGGAGGGTCAATATGCACATTTCAATTATTTCATGAAGGTGATTTTATTTATTTTTGTGGTCTAGACCTGTGATTTCACTGGCATAGGGAAATACTGATGAAGAAACTTCCTCTACCAATGCAGTTGGACAACTGTTCTGCAGCTTATAATCTTAGAGACTTGTCTGGGCCACTGAGATGTTCAGTGACTTGCCCAGGGTCACACAACCAATATGTGTCAGAGGCAGGACTTGAACCCAGGTCTTCCTGACTCTGAGGTAGGCTCCCTACTCCCTAATTCTGGCAGCCTCACTAGTTATTTTCTTTCTGACTCTCCCTAGCACCTCAATACATAATAAGTCAAACATATTGTCTAACTGATTGACTACTTCAATTATCCAGTTGAAAATTAAAATGAAGGAGGCAACATGGCATCTTAGAGCTATAAAGGATTGTAGAGATCAATCATCTCTGGTTGAGAATAAAGGAGTTCACTCATTCCATGGATGAGGAAGCTATGACTTAGAGACCGTAAGTAATTTGCCTAAGGTCATGCAGTTAGTGATAGAGAACCTAGAAAGGGTCATATGGTTGCTTTCAATGGACTTCTTTCAAAGCAGATTCTCTTCAGTCTTCCCCAAGTAGGCTCAGTTGTATTGGTTAGGAAAAAAGGAGTAGGGCAACCTTTAATGTCAAAGGACAATCTACAGCCATGTCTTCTTACTCAATGAATAAACTTATTCATTATTTATTGTTAGGCATTTGTATTGGATTATTAGGTTATAATTCAGTGCCCTGGCCTTCTAATTTACCAAATGGACCTAATGAACTGAAAGTTCCTGAACCTCCAAGTGTGTCTAACTCAAAGCTTTGAGGTGGTTGTCCCATTTGTTAGGGGTACAGCAGGGTGATAGACCAAGGGCTGACCTTGGCTTCAGGAAGACCCAGGTTCAAATTTTTTCTTTGATACATACTAGCTATGTGACCCTGGGCAAGTCACAGCCTCCCAGTGCCCCAAGCAAATCACTAAGACTATAAAATACAGATGAGATGTCAATTTGCATCAGTGAAAGGAATTTCTTCCTTGGGAGTTCCCTAAACCGATTCAGTTATAGGTCCCGTTTTTAAAAAGCATTTTTGTTATTCCTAAGATTCCACTAGGGGTTATTTATTTCTCTTGCTGTTATATGATCTTTATTTTTTTAAATTTGAAAGCGCTTATTGCCCTTATAATATGTATTTAATATTCAGCAATATGAGAAAAGTACTAATAATTCTAAGGAAAGTGAATGAATGAATGAATGAATGAATGAATGATTTCAGGGAGATCCTGGAGAGCGTGGGAAGCCAGGACCACCAGGTGTTTTGGTAACTCCACCCGTTCCATGCAAAGGTTTGTGCTGCCTTCATTTACTCTGTAAATGACATTGGGGATATACTAGAGGAGAAGACTCTGCCTCATTGACCTTATAGCTCATTTATTTTGGGCTAACTATATATATATTATCCCGAGCCTATGATTACCTATAGAGAGATGCAAAGGAGTAGCTCTATCATGTCCTGGACATTTATTGTATAAACTATTATTATATAAATATAAATTATTATCATATAAATATAAATTAATTTGTTATATTTATTAATTGCAAACTTATCTCTCATAAAAGTAGCCATGATGATGTATGCTCCAGCCAAATAATGGCTTCAAGGAGAAGTGGCCAGAATAAATATATCTTTTAATCACTATTTCAGTGGGCCTGATGTGGGTATTTCAGGCAATGGTGCAGACAAAGGCCATCATACTCCTTCATCTTGTATCTTCTCTGTGCTTTACTATAAATCCTCCATTAACAGGCTGAATGCCTTCTTCTATGTCTTTTAATAATCTGTGGGTAATAGTGCCACATTCAGATTGTCCATCTATTAGTGTACAGACAGTGGTCTACAAAAGGTTGATATGTATGTCATAAATGGAAGTTCTGAGCTTCAAAAATTCAAACTGTTCATTAAAAAAAGTGGATTTGAATCCAAGATATCCCATTTTCATCTTGGGAAAAATGACAAAGCAGCACAAATTTCAGAGGTATAAAAATCTTAATTGTTTAGTAAGCATGACCTATTTTGCATGTTCTTTAACAGGACCTCCAGGGGACCCAGGATTCCCAGGACACTGGGGAGAAAAGGGGTCAGTGGGACTGCCTGGTCCATCGGGACCTTCTGGCAGACCAGGGGAAGACAGAATGGGTAGGAATTCACCCCTTTTCTATGAAAATTTCTTTTTTTTTCAGGAGAGGTTGAGTGCACAATATGAGTCTATACCATAATAAGAAGTGATCTAAACTTTCTAGGATGAGAGTGGGTGAACTTTTAGATGTGGTAATGCCAAATTTTCAGTTATACAGTTATGCAGTTATGGAGTCATTCCTGACAAAAGATGTATAAAGGTCAAGCTTGCAGCAGAGGTATAGTTGGAGGACTCCAACCCTTGGGATCCTAGCAACAGAGTGTACCAAACAGTTAAGAAGATGGGGAGACAGCCCAGGGCAGGGAAAAGAGCCCTGGATTTGGAGTCAGAGAACCTCATTTCAAATCTTGGCTGGGCTGCTTACAACCTGTGTCATAAGAGTTTAAGTGACTTGATTAAGTCACTTAAACATCCTAGGTTTCATTTTTCCTCACCTGTAAAATGAGGAGGTTGACTAGCTGACCTCCAAGGTCTCCCAGCTCTAAATCTATGATTCTATCATTTTCTGCACTTTGAGGTTGGCTCTCCCCACTGGGATTGCACCTTACACAATTCTCTCCTTGGTTAAGTTTTATTATTGCTGTTGTCCTGTCATTTCTGACTCTTTGTGACCCCATTTCGGGTTTTCTTGGCAAAGACGCTAGAGTGGTTTGCCATTTCCTTCTACAGCTCGTTTGACATATGAGGAAGCTGAGGTAAACGGGATTAAATTACTTGCTCAGGGTCACACAGCTATAAGTGCTATGAGTCTTCCTGATTGCAGGCCTGGCACTCTATCCACTGTACCACCTGCCTGTAGTTATGACTCTCCTTTAAAAGCTAAAAAGTCTGAAGGCTCATATTTTAAGCTGCTTTTTAACCATCAATTTATAAGTGAGATTTAGCTGAAAACTACTTGAGAACAAGACTGAGACACAGAAAAGGAGGGAAATGTTGGGTTTGGAGAGATCAAGGTAGAGGAAAGGTGCTCTGACTAAGGAGAGGGGTTGGGTATCAAAGACATACTGCACCTGTTTCACAGTTTTGCTAATGGTTGATGCTGACACAGCTCAGAACCATGTTATAGGCTAACTTTGCTATGCATTCTTTAGATGAGTGACTCCATGTTGATTAAAATTTTTCTACCTTGGTAATTTGAGATATTCCATAAAAAGACAAGTATAAATGATTAAGGGATTTCTGTAGGCAGATGACTGCACCATGCAACTGTCCTTACAAGAAGACAAACATTGTGTAGGCAAGCAGTTTTCAACCTCTTTGATCTCAGGACCCTTTACACTCTTATAAATTATTGAGAGCTTTTGATTAGGTGGGGTATAGCTATCTGTATTTACTCTTAGAAATTAAAAAATAGTAACATTTAAAAATATTTATTTAAAATAATGATATTAAACTCGTATGTTAGCATAAATAACATTTTAATGAAAAATGACAATATTTTCCGAAACAAAAAAAGTTAATGAGAAGAATGACTTTGTTTTATATATTTTTGCAAATCACTTTTATGTCTGGCTTTATAGAAGGCAGCTGGACTCTCCTATCTGCTTCTGCATTCAATCTGTTGAGAATGCTGTTTTGGTTGAAGTATATGAAGAAAATTTGGCTTCATGAAGATAGGTGGTTGGAAAAGAGAGGAATATAGGCAACTAACATCTTAATATTATTGTGAAAATAGTCATTACCTTGTGTACCCCCAGAAAAGGTCTCAGGGGTGCTTGGACCACACTTAAAGAACTGCAGGTATAGCCTATTCTGTTCTTGTCTTATGGTAAGACAATGCCATATGATTTCACTGGAGAAATAATGCTGGATGTGAAATCCCAAGACCTGAGTTCACATCCTGCCATAGTTTTTACACCTTTGTGACCTTAGACGTTACTTAAATTATCTTGATTTCAATGTTTGTATGTTTGTTTGTTTAATTTGGAATATAGGCTAGAAGGATCTTTATGACCTTTATAGCCCCTTCAAGCATGGAATCCATGCTTCTATACGATATTATGAGGCAAGAGGTCACCTATTAGTCCATATGAGGTTACCTCTAATTTATCCAGAAATCCATCTCATCAGCTCAGGTCTGAGTATTCATTTGATTCTTCTCCGTGAGTGTGTGCTCATGTTTAAAGGATAAACAGGAATAGCCAGAAAACAGTAATCTCAAGCAAATAGTTGTTCAGGAGAGAAACTCTAGACAATACTCTGTCTAATCTTAGTACTTTTTAGTTCACATTGTCGATATTTTCCGTGAACTCTATTCTGATATCACATTCAGCTCCTGGTCAAGATTAACCAGCAGCCCCTCCCTTTCTGAGTGATAGCAAGTACTAAAGAACAGAGTTCCAGTTAGACCTTGGGCACTGAGGCTGGGCTGCTCATGATTCAGTTTGCTAAGAGGATTGTTGATGACATAAAAGCAACAGCTCTATAGATTATTGAAAGAGATTAGAAGGGAAAAAATTCTTTAGGGAGACATAGTAGCACAATTTAAAATAAGGTAGCATTATTTTAATGTAATTAAAATGTAAATTAATTAATTTTAATTAAAATTAAATTTAAGATAGAGAGTGGACCTGTGATTTTATTGGTATAGGGAACTTTCAGGTGAGAAAACTCTCTTCTACCAATGCAGGCTGGCACTAACCTGCAATTTATAGTCCTAGAGCACTGAGAGGTTGTGACTTGCCCAGGGTCACGCAGCCAGAATGTGTCAGAAGTGGGACTTGAACCGAGGTCTTCCTGGCTGTAAGGCCAACTCTTTGCAGATGACATAGAAAATTCTGCTATCCCCTGAGATGCAGAAGCTTCCTCTGATGAATTCTGAGTTTGGGTGATGCATAGAACTTTGATTATGTTGTTCTGTCCCGCAAAAACTTCAAAGGCTCCTTGTTGTTGGCAATTTTATAATGTAAAGTCTTGAAGAGTTATCTGGGGCAGAAAAAGGTACATATTTTGCCCAAGGTCACAGAGCTAGTGTGTGCCAAAGGCAGAACTTGAACCCAAGCTGGCCCTCTATTACATCATGCTGCTGCTTCTCCCATCCCATGAGACACCTTATATTCCCCCCAATAATTCCAAAGTTGGAGAAAAAGTGAGAACAAGGACTTGCTGTTTATACCTGAATTTTGCCTCCTACTTCCATTTATGTTTATTTGAATGAAGTCATTCCATTTTTATTTTATTTTAATTTACCCTCAAAAAATGGAATAACTTTTACTTTACATTTCCATATATTTTACATACTATAATTGTCTCAAATTGTATGCTCTAAGTAAAGTGTATACATTGCATAATTCTTGATTTCATTTGCAGGAATAACAGGACCTCCTGGGCCTCCAGGGTTGCCAGGTGAGCAAGGCCTTCAAGGTGAAGCTGGAATTCCTGGAAGAGGTGATTCTCCTGCAGGAAGACCAGGGACTCCAGGACACCCAGGAATACCAGGAGTCCCAGGGCAGCAGGGTCAACCTGGATCAGATGGTACAAAAGGCACTGTTTCTATGTTATTTAGTATTTACATAACACTTTACACTGGTCAAATTATTTATAAAATACATAATATATATTTGCATGATTTCAACAACCTTATGAAATATGTTGTTTTTGTTACTGCTATTTTAAAGTCAGCTTCAATCTATAAGCTAAATTTATAAACGAAATCTGTAACTAAATTTGATTTTGGTGATGCTTAGTTAAGAAAATGTCAATTGACAATTTTAATATTTCATTTTTAATATCTGGTACAATAACAAAAATAGAATTTTCAAGGTTCTACTTTATCTTTTTCTCCTGAAGTGATGATTAACGATTGAAGAAACATTAAACTATTTGTTGAACTTTGATTTTCAATCCTTTTCAGTTTCTAAGAAATGGCTCAGATCACATAGAGGGACAGAGAGACAAACAGAAAGAGACAGATGGATAGAGAATGAAAGATGAAGTAAGAGACAGACTTGGGAAAGAAACAAGGAAAGATAGAAAATGACAGAAAGAGAGGTAGCTGGAGGAAGGAAGAGAGAAAAAGAGAGAGGCAGGTAGATAGAAGCGAGAGAGGCAGAGAAGGACAAATAGAAAAAGACAGACAGATTAAGAGAGAGACAGGGAAAGACAGACAGATGGAGAAAAAGAGATGGACAGATACAGATTGCAAAAGATTCAGAGAAAGGGAAAGGCAGACAAGTAGAGAAAGAGGAAGAGACAAACAGATGAGAAATGATAGACCAATCAAAACAGATGGATAGATAAATAAAGACTGGGAGATGGAGGAGGAGAGATGGAATACAGAGACAGGCAAGTAGAGGAAATGAGACAGACATACAGACAGGAGAGAGATGGGGAAGGGGGACACAGATAAAGAAAGAGAGAAAAAAGAAACAAACCTATGGACAAAAAGGAAAAGAGAAACAGATGGAGGAAGAGGAAGATAGATGGAGAAAGGGGAATAGATTGATGGAGAGAGACAGAAGAAAAGAGATAAATAGATGGAAAGAGACAGATTGACACATAGAAAGATTGACAGAGAAATTGGAAGACAGAATGGCAGAGAGAGTTCTCTGCCTTCATCACTTGAAAGATTTATAAACTTTTCACATTTCCTCTCCCCCATCAAGCCATACATTGTAGCATTGGCCCTCCTGGACCACAAGGAATGAAAGGTCAATCAGGATCTCCAGGAAGAAGAGGTACAAAAGGAGAAAAAGGCAAGTCTATATCAAGAATGGAATTTCAAAAAAAAAAAAAAAAAGCATTGCCAAACTTGGCTTCCTTTAATTTCCCAGATAACTTTGAAGGTGCAGGAGGTGGAAACCCTTCTCAGACAGGATGCCCAACTTGGCATTTGCTCTCAATTCTAGACATTCTTTAGCTTATATGTATTCACACGTCTTTATCTGCATCTGGTATGAATAAAACCCATTAGACAACAAAGATTAAAGGAGACGTGCATTTGGAAAGAGCCTAGTCACCTGGAGAGAATGTGGCCACAAAATTGCCACCTTCCCTCTCTTAGGCCAGCAGAGTTCCCAGATCCAAACAAAGAGGAGGAGATGGGTGCCAGTCAGTATATTTTTCCCCACAAACCTTGTCCTCTCTTAAATTCTCTAGTTGGGACAAAGGCCCCGTATTCCCTTGGCTTGATCTGCCAGGTGTCTTTACTTATGCTTCGTTTAAATACCTATGAGCATGTTGATGGGCAACTGAGGAATTTATAGATTAAGCAAAACATTTATGATTTCATATAACTGAGAACACACCAACACAGATTGTGTCCTGGAGAACTGATTTAGATATAGAATTTAAGTGACAAATTCAGAGTAAGTGAATATCAGAGGCAGAATTTAACCATAAATGTCTTCCTCACTCTGAGTCCAACATTCTGGCTATTTATCATACCATGTGACTCTTAATTAACAATCGATAATATTTAAGGCTCTTAAGGACCTCTGCCAACATATGACACAATTTTATTTTTAATTTATTTCTTTGGCATAAAGCTATAACCAAACTTAACCTTACATTATTAGGATGGTGCTTTGGAAAAATCATTGGGTTGAGAGCCAGAGGTATTTGGTTCAAATTCTAACTCTTTGACCCTTAACCTTCTCTGAGCCTTAGTTTCCTCATCTATAAAATGAGGGGTTGGATTAGATGATCTAAGATCTCTTCCAGCTCTGGAAACTATGAGTCTATGATTCACCTGAGTTTACCTTAGACACACTGATCCTTTTTCCTAATATTTTTGATCTGGTAGCAGAAGCTTGAAAACTTGCCAGTATGAGCTCATTAAGCCTCAAAGCATCCCGTAAATGGATATGAAATACTCTGAAGCTGCTACAAGTCACAGGGGAATAAAGGTTATTGATGGCTCAATGAATCTGAATTCAATACCTTTGACTTCTGTTTTCAGTCCAAAAGAATAGCCATATCTATTTGTCTATATACGCACATGTACATATGTATGTGCACATGGAATATTCACAAAATTTCAACACTTTATAGCTAGAAAGGACCTTAGAGATCAAGGAAATGCTAACTTCTGGACCTTATGTGTCTTATGGACCAGCAACAGATTTACATGGGGAAGAAAGCTGGAAAGGGCAGCTAACTCATTGCACAACAAAAGCAATTACCAAAAAGATGAAGTACAGTCATGGATTGAGTCTAATAAGTGAATGGAAAGTTTATAATCTCTGTCCATATCTTCTAAGTGGCTGTCCCCAATGCCTGGTTTCCTTCAAGACTAAACTCAAATCTTCCCTTTTGCAAGAAGCTTTTGCTGATACTGCCTGCCTTACCCCAATAGTGCCTTCCCTCTGAGATTACCTTCCATTTATGAGAGAGAAAGAGAGAAAGGGAGCGGGGAGAGAGAGAGAGAGAGAGAGAGAGAGAGAGAGAGAGAGAGAGAGAGAGAGAGAGAGAGAGAGAGAGAGA